GGGGGGGGGGGGGGGGCTCTGATTTTTGTTTACGCCATGAAGATCTCCAAGTTCTTCTTCACATGGCTGTCGCTGGATCGTCTTCTTTTTCTTCTTCTACTATGTGCTTCTCCATCTTTTTGTGTAGTTCTAGAAGACGACATAAGGTGCCTTCGAGGGGTTAAGAATGCGCTTGTTGATCCACTCGGAAGGCTTAGTTCTTGGGATTTCAAGAACACATCTGTTGGCTATCTCTGCAACAAATTTGTCGGTCTCTCTTGCTGGAACGACCGTGAGAATCGCATTCTGAGTCTCGAGCTTAGAGATATGAAGCTTTCCGGTTCCATTTCTGAGGACTTGCAGTACTGTGTGAGTCTGCAGAAAATGGATCTGTCCGGGAATAGCTTTTCCGGTGCGATCCCGCCGCATATTTGTAAGTGGCTTCCGTATTTGGTTAGCATAGATTTGTCGAACAATCAATTTACCGGCCCTATTCCGGCTGATCTCGCCGGGTGTTCTTATCTGAATTCGTTGATTTTGTCTGATAATGGGCTTTCTGGTACAATACCAGTTGAGCTCACGAGTTTGGGTAGGCTTAACAAGTTTTCCGTTGCGAACAATCATCTCACTGGTACGATTCCCTCCTTTTTTGATAAATTTGGGAAGGAGGATTTTGATGGGAACAGTGACTTATGTGGAGGGCCTGTTGGATCGAGTTGTGGCGGGTTGAGCAAGAAGAATCTTGCGATCATTATAGCTGCTGGTGTGTTTGGTGCCGCGGCTTCTCTGTTGTTAGGTTTTGGGTTGTGGTGGTGGTATCAATCTAGAATGAACATGAAGAAGAGAAGGGGATATCGGGATGGAATTAGTGGGGATTGGGCTGATAGATTGAGAGCCTATAAGCTTGTTCAAGTTTCCTTGTTTCAAAAGCCTCTTGTGAAAGTTAAATTGGCTGATTTGATGGCTGCTACTAACAATTTCAATTCTGAAAATATTATAGTTTCTTCTAGAACTGGGACTACTTATAGAGCTGTTCTTCCAGATGGCTCTGTGCTTGCTATAAAGCGGCTCAATACCTGCAAGCTCGGTGAGAAGCTGTTTCGAATGGAGATGAACCGGTTAGGATTGATAAGGCACCCGAATTTGACACCCCTTTTGGGATTCTGTGTTGTGGAAGAGGAAAAGCTTTTGGTTTATAAGTATATGTCTAATGGTACTTTGTCCTCTTTGTTACATGGAAATGGTGAGATATTGGATTGGCCAACTAGGTTTAGGATCGGTTTGGGTGCGGCTAGGGGTCTTGCTTGGCTTCATCATGGATGCCAACCTCCATTCATGCATCAAAACATATGTTCTAGTGTAATTCTTGTGGATGAAGACTATGATGCTAGAATCATTGATTTTGGATTAGCAAGGTTGATGTCTTCAGATTCTCACGACAGTAGTTTTGTAAATGGAGATTTAGGGGAGCTTGGTTACATCGCTCCCGAATATCCGAGCACCATGGTTGCTTCTCTGAAGGGGGATGTTTATGGATTTGGGGTTGTGCTTTTGGAGTTGGTCACTGGCCAAAAACCTCTAGAAGTCACTAAAGCAGAGGAAGGCTATAAGGGTAACTTGGTGGATTGGGTTAATCAGCTAAGTATTTCGGGTCGAATTAAGGATGTTATTGATAAAGATCTTTGTGGGAAAGGGAACGATGAGGAAATCTTACAATTTATGAAAATTACAATGAACTGCGTTGTTTCTCGCCCCAAAGATAGGTGGTCTATGTATCAAGTTTATCAGTCAATGAAAACCATGGCTAAAGACTACAGTTTCCCTGACCCAGATGTTGAATTCCCACTTTTATTCGGCAAGGGAGATGAACTCATGTAGTTCCAGAAAAATATCTATGGATTGAAAACATTATATAGAGAACTCGGGATTTCTACATCTTCTGGTGAGTTCTCAATGGCCCTTAATGCTAATCGTGTTGATTCCCGTCATAAGAACTTGTTTCGACATTTGTTTCGAATGGCTGTATGTACAATAAACCCGAGTTAATCTGTAGGTTCTTGAATTCTGAAGTAATTTGTCTATTATCCTTGCTTTCAATGGAGCACTGCCAATGTAGAGATTCCATGCTTTCGAGTAAAACATTTAAACTATAGCACGATGGCTTGTATGTATGCTTCATAAGCTTCATTATTGTTTCTTGCATTGAAATATGTAGGATAAACTTGTTAGGATGTATATCATCTGTGTCAAGGATCCATTGAAACATCAAAACTTGGAAGTCTTCATTCTTGTAAGACCTACACAAATGCTGCCCTTTTTTTCTCTCACCCGGTTCTAATGTCTACTTGTTTCGATATCGACAACTCTTGAACCGAACCGTGCTTTCATATTCAGTTGCTTCTGTATCAATTTGTACATGTAGAAGTGAAGAATGTCTGCTTCTCATTCTGTCAGTTGTGTTGATGAGTTCGGCATTTGACTTTGAAACTTACAAAATTCTGAATCTGTTGTGTATGATGATCATTATTATTAATCTCTTGCACATTAAATGGTTATTTTCAACCCTACGTGCACTCACAAATGTTCTTCCATTCTTCCATTTTTGTTTAAAAAGCTGGTCAAAGTCAACGCCAGGCACTTCTGAATGTCTTTTTCAAGACACACTTTTGAATCCTGAAATTTCTTAGTTAAGAATTTATCTGAAATACATGTCGTCTTGTTGCTCTGTATTTATCTTTGTTGGGACAATTTTCTTCGTTTGTTTCTAGAAATTGTATTTATTTATTTATTTTTAATTACTTTGTCAAGTAATCTTGTTTTTAATACCTGTTTGAGAAATTGACCAGAGAGCCCATGGGTGTGTCTGAAGAAGGTGAGAGATGAAATGGCTGTTATAAGGAGAAAAAGGGAAAAGAAATTGAATATGTTTTGATTTACTTTAATTTAACATTTTTTTTGAGTATTACTTACTTCGACCAATTCTTCCTTTCTTTGTTTCTTTCTCAAATATAAAAAATTTTGTACTTTTTTCTGCTTGCTTATAAAAAAATTTATCGTTTTTTTTTTTAATTTTTTTTATAGAAAAAGTATTTTCTTCCTCTTTGGTGGGATCTCATTCCTTCCCTTTTTTTTTTTTTTTTCCTAAGAAAATATTCTTCCTTTCTTCTTTATTTCATGCCAATGGGGTCCCAAATTTCTCTTTTTTTATTTTTATTTTATTATTATTATAATTATTATTCTTCTTTCTCTATTTCCTTTAATCACTTAAAAGATCTCCATCTTTTCCATCCCATAAATACTACTTTGACCAGCTTCAACCAAAAAAATAAAGAATCCTAAATTAATTTGGCCAAAACATTAATATGACCTGACACAAGAAAGGGATAAATGCAAAATTATTCAACAACATATACATTAATTGAAATGATATACATTAAGGTAGATAGAAACTAAACCCCAACTACCCTAAACCCGAAACATATACCCTAAACTCCAATGTAGAGTAGAGACTTCAACATTTAACATTTTAGTTGAAATTATGTAGTCATATTGAAGCTAACGACTTGAAGCTAACGACAAGGAATCCAGATTTAAATATCTTAATCAATTAAATTATGGAAAAAAAAAAAAAACATGAAGATGTGGATGAAGTTGTCTTGTTGAACCAACGGTGACAGAATCCCGTCGCGGAGAGGAGCGCCCAGAACCTTTCTCGGGGGCTACCCTTTGTTTTTTTCCCCTCTTTACCTTTTTCTTTTTCTTTTTCTTTTTTCAAAAATTTGATTTGATTTGTTTTTTTTTTTTTTTTTTTTTTTGCATGCATCGAATAGGCACGATCAATATTCACGAATCTGTCTGAATTTTACACTCTCCCAAGCTTTTGAATACAATTATCAAAGGTACAATCTTTACTCATGCTTTTCCATGTGTTATCCATGTCATTAATTACATTCCAAATTTATTAAAGTTTTAAACCATACGTTAAAGAGAATGAATATTAATTTATTTATTCGTAGCTAAGATTTAGTCAGAATTCCGAGATAATGGATGATCAATTTATCGATTACCAGAATCAATCATTTTCTACTTTTTTTTAAGGATGTGACAATGGGGAGAAAAAAACAAAGAAAGATATGAATGGAAAATTCAAGTTATGCATGAACGACAAGGAACATTATAAAATCTTCAAATTCCGAGGAAAGAAACAAACACTTTGCATCTGAGATCAAATAAATGATGACTAGCAACAGCTGAGAATTTTCTGGGAAAGTTATTCAAAATCTCTTTCTTTTCTACTCCCAAGAACCCACTAAGAACAGTAGCCATGTCAGTGCTTTCAGGGACAAAAGTCTCAATGCAGGATCTATCCTTGATGGAGAGCAAAGATGAACATTTACAGGTAAAGGAAAAAAATAACTGTTCATTTCTCATCTTTTTCTGCAGCTGATCCATCTCCAGGATTTGTTTAGGCTCGAATTGGTGGCTGTTTAGAGTTTCCTACTCTCCTGAATTCACATTTTGAGCAATATAATTCATTAGCCAATGTCATATAGAGAGAGAGAGATCATCATGTCTGCAAATGGTATTGTAGCGAAAAGAAACAATATTATGTAACCCATCTATAATCTCAAAGCTTACGAACTAAAGCAGTCAAGATCTTGCCCCAATACCTTTAATAGCTCATAAAAATAAGAGAAAGAGTGATAAAAAAAAAAAAAAAAAAAAAAAAAAAAAAAAAAAAAAAAAAAAAAAAAAAA